CATACCATGCAAATACATTAAAAAGCTACATATTACCAGGCATACACATGGTAGATTTAAGCAGCACCTATCAATTTTATCACACTACACATCCAAAGTGGGCAATATACTGACATTATGATACTCACTATGATATTAAGGACTCCATGCTATCAAGGGGGAAAGTGGGGGAATCGTCTTTTTAATGTACTTGTTTGTTCCATTGTGTTTTTAATGAAAATGGATAATATATTCATTCCCATCACATGTATATTCTTCCACATTCTCAGCTATAACACGGATGAGTGTAGATCCTGCCCATACTGCATTCTTTCTTTTTTCATTAAAAAGAGGGAAACCGCACAATTGCAGTAGTCCAAAATCTAGGTCTTAAAAGGGGGATATATAGCAACAGCTAAGTGGTGGTATATAAAAACAAATTAATTTAAAAATACTGTACATGAATCATGTAAATAGATTACTGATGAGAAAAGAAGTATCGATGCTCATTTGGAGACCACCCACAGGAGCACCCGTTCTTCAATGTCATTAAAGTGATTTAACATGGGTGAATCTGACAAATCACATCACTTGTTAAATTAAGCCCCTTCAGCTGTTTCCATACAAATTTGTGGGTCTTAACATGATTGATCCCCAACTCCATACTCCCGACGCAAGTACTTTTGTTATAGGCTTTGTGGAATTCCATCTGTAAACTATGTGAGAAACATATAGAAATGGGGAGAACCTTGCATCTGGTGAGGTCTTTAGCCTACACTGGTGGTTCTCAACCTGTGGTTCCCCAGATGTTTTGGCCTTCAAGTCTTGGAAATACTAATGGCTGGTAAACTGGCTGGAATTTCTGGGAGTTGTAGGCCAAAACACCTGGGGACACACAGGTTGAGAACCACTGGTCTATATCTCACATGACTGAAGACTTCTGACACTTAAAAAGAAAAAAACCAGACCTGAAAAACTATTGTACTAAAGAAAGCGCTAGACATGGAACTGTCCTCCTTCATGGATCTAATTTTGTACATATAGGTTCTTTAGTTGCATTGATGGTGCTTCAGTCTTGTAAGGATGATGAAAAATCAATCACAAGTTTGTTACTTCATTGAACATTAAATCAAACTTGGAAGGAATGTTTCTGTGTCCATGGAATGATAGTAGCAGAAAATAAAATATGGGGGTAGGAAGGCAAAGATTTCAGTGACAAGGCTTAGAAAATGAAATGAGGCTCTGCTGTGATATGGAGGCCCTAGTACATCATAGAGAGAATATATATATATATATATATATATATATATATATATATATATATATATATAAACATTGTTATTTAATATCTGGCTTAGACTTCTGTGGAAAAAAACCCCTAACAAACTAAAATCAATGAAGTTAACAATTAAATTAAATGTTTTCCAACCAAAAGAAACCAAGTTTATTTTTGATAAAATTGTTTAGCTTAGTTTGGAATTTCAACACCAAGGTTCTCCCAGATTTAAGTGTTTTTTTTAAAAAAAAAAGAATTAAATGAGTCATATATCATAAAAACAAACATATTTTACATTGCCCAGTTGGTTCTTTACTCAAAGCCTTGCATTGTGGATTTATGCAAAACTCCTTTTTAAGGTTTTTTTTTAAACCCTTGGGGAGTTAAAAAGTTAAGATCACAAGTGATAAGAGTACTCAGGAAATAGGTTTTCCTTTGCAACTTGGGGGTCTTCCTGTGTTCTGCCCTGGACACCAGGGAAATTAATATTCTACTATTTTGCCCTCACAAATGAAGATGAATAATTTTCAGTTTCCACCTTGCAGCAGAAAAAATAATATATTCCCATAGCCCATATTTCAGGAAATTATTCAGCACAGAAATTCACAAGCTTGTGTGTATGTGTTTTAGAATTGAGGGGGGAGGGGTTGCACAAACATTTCCAGACAGATAAGGTTGTTAGTTTGGTTTTTAGCATGTCAAAGATCGTATAAATAGGCCATGTGACTATTTTGTCCAATATTGGAAGCAATATTGAATGGAAAAAAAACCCCATATTTGGACAAAACCTTATAATTCTCCAACTGAAAAGGACATTTCTGTATATCTGAAGTATGCAAATACAGGTTAAAATTATGCAAAATTCTCATCACTTTTGCAAAAACAGTAATCTTCCTGACCAGGCTGATCAGTTTTCAAGGGACTGGTTTTTCATTCAGAAAATTGGTAGGAGTGAATCATATTTTCATTCCTATTTGCAACATGTAGATGTCATTCATTCATAGGACAATGCATTATGAGGCTCTTAAATTCTGCAATATTTTTTGCGGTTAGTGTGGTAATCAATAAATGTGAAGAAAGCAGGGCAATAATGAAAAGAGAAAGAAAGGAGGAAAGAAAGAGGAGCAGTTGTGATCAGTGAAGGTGGACAATGCGTATTGCCAAAAGCATGCAGCCCCAACCTCTGGAACAAGGACACAGAATGGGGGAGCAGTAGATTAATGGATGGCAGTTTTCACCTTTACTCTGATAAGGTAGTAATGAAAAATACAGCTAAATGTGAACATAAAATTAAGTTAATTGTTAACATACAAACTTTCACTATAAATGAAATTGAGTTAGACTTTCTAATATATTAACAATTAACCCAATGTATTAACTTTTACTGACTAACTTTCCTATCTTTATAACCATCAAATATAACAATGCAGTGCAGTCACTTCTGCAATAAATGTTTATATACTTAAAAACCTCACTGTATAAATGCATCACATAGTGTGCATGGGTCTTTGCACATGCAGATTTTGTACATCAAATTTATTTTAATACATTCAAACCTGCTCTACAGTACTTTAGGATAAACCAATATATAGGTAACATATAATAAAGTATAATGACAATAATTTCATTGCACACCAAGAAGCATTTGCTCATGGCATCCAAACTGTTTACAAAAGGGGGTATATTATACTAGGTAAGACCTAGTAATTCTGTAGCAAGCAATTTTAGAAAGGTCTATCAGAATGAAAAAAAATTGTACCTAGTGCTAAAAGGATTGGGAAAAATAAGTATATGTTTCATTGCAAGATTTAAGAGATAACTAATTCAAAAATTATATAGTTTGGGAATGGAACTGTATTACACAAAATAAGTACTAAGACAAGACACTATATTTTTAAAATAAGAAATCTTGCCCCCCCCCCCCCAAATGGATTTTTCAAAAGGAAAAATCTTGAACATAAGTCCACTCCATTCAATCACTGGGCCAAGATGGATGTGTGTTTGTTAGAATATTGTCAGTGGTGTAAGAGTAAAATTTAAGGATATGACAATATTTATATAAAGCCTTCGATATGATTACAAAAAGAAGACAGTATAAACAGAACATCATTACATGTTCAACTGGCACATTTTACAAGATTTAGCAAAGGAGGAAGCCTTTCATAAGGGCTTCAAAGCAAACGATTTCATTTATTACAGACTGTATTGTAGGAACTGAAATAGCTAAAGGCACTAGTAAACAATGTGTCAAACCAATCCCCAAATAAGAACTGTTAAAACTTTAATAGTTATGAAATGAATAGCTCTGAATTAATTTGCTTTCTCCTGCAAACATGCATCTGATAACAAATGCATCTAGCTAACATATATGACCTCAGCTACAATTTACTTCCATAACTGCTCTACTGCTCTTAAGGTTGATTGGAAATCTGCAATAAATTATTTACCACATATATTATAAAACAGCACAGCATGTAGAAGTTGCTCGATGAAACACACAAACTGAATTTTAGATAGCTAGCAAAAGACATATATAGGCTTCTGCAAAAATACTGATCTTTGTAGAATAATGTTATACTGCATTATAAGTATTGTCAATGAAAAATCCTTCTTTTATCTCAATATGTTAACACACAATTAGTCCAATATGGGCAACTGATGACAGAAAGCCACCATTTGAGAGATTCTCCTTCCATTTTCAGCTTCAGGACAACGTAATCAAACTTGGCACAAACCAAAGGGATCTGGAGAAACACCACTGGAACGCATGCTGATATTGTATTGCATCCAGTCTATCCAGCATTGCATACATGAGCAAAAAAAGCATGTTCACTGCTGCAAGTAACCTCCAAAAGAATTCTGTCAACTTTCCCTCCTGCTGTAGCTCAAACACCACATATCAACAACAAACCACAAGGAAATGTAAGAAAGGAAAAATGGGAAGGCCTCACATTTCAAGCAATATGTCCAACCCATTAAGAAATCAGGAAATCCAAAATTGAGAGGTTAAACAAAAAATTGAACAACATTGTAATGTAAAATGCACAGAATAAATTTGATTAAAAATGCCTTTTCCATCACAAATGGAAATGCCTGCTGAACATTTCAGTGACTGGTGACCAACTAGGACATGTCCAAGAATACAGTGATAATGCATTAAAAAGCTAGTTGTGATTTCAATATACAACCTCATCAAAGCAGTGTTTTTTCAAGCAATTTTATGCTGGTCTCTGCTTCTTTTAACCAATTTTATGGCCACCAACATGTACCATCACATGACGCATGGCTCGCCACACCCCCTTTGAGCATGTTTGTGGCATCCCGCATTGGCCGCTGCAAATTTCTATACCACGGGCCTATCATATAGGTAAGTCTTCTGCAAGATTCTATCTTTTTAATCCCTTTTACGTGCTTCCCCATTCCAATAAGAAATGATGGGGTGCCACATGCTCTGTAGATTCCTCCATCCTTTCCATCACATGGAAAGGAGAAGGGTGGGCGCATGATATGTAAGGCGACTCTAGTGTAGTCCCCAAAATGTTACCGGGGGGGGGGGGATAGTGTAATGAGGTCCTAAAGTCACAAAATGTTAATGCTTTTGTCTGCCATCCAATATCAATTACCTAAACTCAACAGAACAAGGAGCTGACTTGTCTTCTAATTGGTTTCAGCAGAAAGATTCCACCTACGATTCCAATTCTCTAGATCCAGCAAGACATTTATCAGCTTGTATAAATTCCCTTACCTTGGTATCCATGGGCTTCACTATCTTCATAAAAGCACCTCTCACAATGGCTTCCTCGCGTTCAGTTTTGCTTACTTTCCGAGAATCCAAAAACTTCAGGTTGGCTAATTTGTGCAGAACAAAATACCTGAATTTTCAATAAAGAAGAAAAATCTGGTTAGGATGCTCATTGACCTATGGTGCAATGTTTTTAATTTAAATTACTTGATATAAGCTTATGAGGAAGGATTTCTGTTTCACCAGTTCATCCATTCATTAAAGAAAACACAGGCTAGCATTCTGCATCTGCTACCTAATTAAGTACAGTTTAGTAAATAACCTCCCCTGGCCTGATCTCCTTTTTCTCTGCATCGTTTATTTACCCATATCTGCTCCATATTCATAATTTCTATTTATGACATTTTTTTCCACAACAGTGAATTCCACAACAACCTACTTTACCAAGCATCAGCTGCATAAATAGAAGAAGGCTGATTCTGCTGGTGATGAGAGCATGGGTGAATGGCATGCACATCAGGGTTTGGTCCAAGGAGATGTTGCTTAATAAAGGGCACAAAGTAGTTGACACAGAATATTCTGCCACATTGTATAAATATCTGAAAAAACATCTATTTCATATCTCATTTCCAAGAAGTGCCTACAGCTCATATATCAGTTCATTCTCTGCCTCAAATGGCTGGATGCAGAGTTCCAATACAGGTTAAAATCTTACCATAGACCAACCTTCATAACATCTAACAGACAAAGAAAGGATTTTCATAAGACCAGTAATATTTCTCAGTGAAATTTTATACCTCCCTAGTTTTGTTTGGATTTCAAATTAGCTACAAGCATCACAAAGGTAAAATTCACATTTCAGGCTGAAATTCCTTTATCTGGAATTCTGAAATCTGAAATGCTCCAAAATCCAAAACTGTCCAAGTGGATGACTGAGTGATACCTTTGCTTTCAACAGTTCAATGTACATTAACAGTTTCATGCACAATTTTTTTAAATTATTGAGTATATAATTAACTACAGCCTACATGTATATATGAAACATACATTGACTTGTGTTTATCCTTGGATCCTTTCTCCAAAATAATCATCACATATCATGTTGGGAATCCATTATCTGGAATTCTGAAATCTAAAATACTAAAAAAATCTGAAACTATATATATTGCAAAGTCCAAACATTTTGACCTCAAGCATTTCAGATAAGGGATACAAAGTCTGAAATACAGAAAAACCCAGCCATAGGTCTGGGCAGCACACAAGATTCAGAGCAAGGTTTTGGAGCTTTCTCCAACTTTCTTTAATATTTTGGCAAGAAGAAAAAGCTGAAACCTGACTAGCCCAAAAGCCACACACATTGATTTATTCACAAGAAGCTGACCGAGCATGGCACAGCATGGCATGAATCAATGTTTAAAAAAACAGCCCTGGAAGGTGATAATATCAACTCCTCTCAAGCACTTGCTATTTCCAGCCAGCCACCCAGATATGAAACAGACTCAGTGGAGACGGGAGAGAGGAAGCGCCAGATCCTTTCCTGGCAGGAAACAGAAAGGTGATTGATAATATTTCCCACAAACAGCAAGTTTATATAGACCATCATTCTAGCAATGAGTCTTTGCGGGATGTAAGAAAGGCAACCACACATGCCCAAGATTATGAAGGAGGAAATTGTTTAGGTTCAAATATAAAGGACAGCTCTTTTGTACGTCTGAACTCAATGGAGAACCTGTTTGGAGTGATGGTGGAATCCCCCTTCTTTGGAGTTTTTGAGGAAATGTGTCAGAAGACTAATTTTTTATGGAGGTCAAACTGGTTTTTGGATCACTTTCAATCTCCTTTGAGATCAGGAGAAATAATGGTTGCAATTTTATTATTTATTTATACAACTAGAGAGAAACAAAAAAGCCAAGCAGATAGCTAGTTATGTCTGAGGTAGTAGATTGGCCACTGACATGTGTTGAAATCCATCCAGAGCATGAATGTAAACCCTCAACCATATTAGCTCTGTAAAAGAATACAATAGTAAAAAGGAGAAGGTTTCACACAAAGCATTATGTGCTCTCAATTAGTCATTTTCTGAAATTCTGGAGCATAGCTGGATGCTTGGGGATTACAGAAATATTCTCACACTCATCTGCAACTTTTCCAAGTGCCCTTTCAAGTCCACTGTGAGCTTCTGATGGCCCTTATCTTTCAGTGGAAAAGAATTTTCCTCTTCTAATATTACTGGCAGGAATACTTTGAAAGACAAGGGATTCTTTCAAATAGAAGGAAACAACATGTCAAAAGTAAAGCTCAGGATAAGTAAAAAAAAACCCATCTAAGTTTAGGGTGAAAAAAGATTAATATTCAGGTGCAGAAAACATCACTATGACAAAATCAACAAATGTTTAACGGTGGAGTGAAAGATGCCATCAAGAAGGAAGCAGCCACAAAAATGACAACAGATTTAGGCAGTGTTATGCCATCTCTTTGCCAGCTTTGGACCAAAGCCCTAAACGTCAGTCTCACATAACCCCATCGGAGGAAATAAGCACTTGTAGCAGAACAGTTTTGGCATACAAGTTTTCTTCTATTTAGCAACTCTAGCATTTGTTCCCTAAAGAAAAGGAACAACCAGGAGAGAGCTTGTGAGAGAGAAGCCATGAAAGCCATATGGATCCTATGACTGAAATCTTCCCCACTCATCTTGGCAGTGCAGATGTTGTATAGCAAAGGATGATGAACTATCAAAGGCAATCTTGTAGCAGGCATTAAAAGCTACCCTGTCATCAGAGCTGAAGCCGTGCAATAATGATGCCATTTGGAAGAACAGCCAGATTAAATCCCAACTGCACAAATTCCTTTCAACAAAGTGAGAAATAAAACATGTGTGTGCATGTTTCACTCACCCACACATTCCTAAGGACTAGATTGACACCATAGGCCTGCATTGCCTGAACAGTGATGTAGTTTTTTTCTCTCCTTTAGATGCTTGTAAACAGATTTTCCTATGGCTGAGAATATACTTTAAAGCCCCTATTTCAATGTTGAGGAAACTATTACGTACTCTCTCATGTACCCAGAACTTCAAATAAAACTCTCCTGCAAGTTCTTTGGGCTTTGGGCAGTCTAATAACACTGAAGAGCTGGACCTTTTCAGGTGTAACATATCCTTCCTCTCAAATGTACTTGTTCACTCACTTGTGGTTTTCAGAAAGGGTGACAAAACATATATCATGGAATAGTTCAGAAAGGTATGTCACAATGTATCTAAATTTTAGTCCAGCCATTTGTCAAGGCAGGAAATCTATTACCGTATCCTTTAGAAGAGAAGTTCCCAAGCTTTTTTTTAACCAGGGACCACTTGACCAGGGTTCACTTGAACAGGGACCACTTTGACCAGGGACCACTCTCCAACATTAGTACTAAAAAGGTTCTGAATCAGTTTTTGGTCAACTTTAGATTCAATTTGGTTATTTGGAGTGCTGATGCAGAAAATTGCATTGGATAGACCACATCAGCTCTAGTTTCTGATACAGAACATATGCCATCCAGTAGTTGCCATCTGCTTGCCCACAGAAAACAATATTTAATAATCTAGAGCTGATATGGTAATAGAAATATTTCGTGGGTAGTCAGCCTCTCTCCTCCTGACATCCCCATTGCCTTAGCAGTATAAGAGGGTTTTGCAAGACCAGTCATGCTTGTTGCCACATGGTTTCAAGACAATGGTGTAGTGAAGGTGAGGCCACAGACCATATTTTTGTTCTTGCGGACCACTGGTGATCTACGGACCACAGATTGGGAACCACTGCTTTAGAATTAGCCAATCCAGGCTTTGTCTCAAAGTCTCCAATGAACTGATCTGCAAGTATATAGCTTAAAGCATCAAGAAGAATTTCATGTTTACTCTAAACCATTTCCTTATTATTTTAACCAACTGTTTCAGATCCTATACTTGAGCGAAATAAAACCAGAGTTGTTCCATCATCCTCTTGACTGATATTATTTGAAGATGGTGATCATGCTGATTCTTAACTGCCTCTTCTTCAAACTAAGGACATTTAAATCTTATAATTTTTTGGCCATTTTTTCAACCTTTTAAAAATCAAAATGCTCACCATTATCTTATGCACACATTCCAGATGATGTTGACAGTTTGCAGTTTGTCATATAAATTCTACTGAGGGTATTATTGGATGATAATAGCAGCAGATAAATAAGAATGAACATGAGGGTAGTTGGTTAAACTACAATTTCTATTTACATTCACAAACAGTGAACAATGGATTTATTACTATTTACTAATCAAGATAATAACCCAAGATCAAATTATACTGAACCAAGTGAACAAAAGAATGAAGCAGAGAACATGCAGAACTCATATTTGTTATTGGCTTCATAAACCATAGTTTATAAAGCCAGCAATAATACCTATCAGCCCTCCCAATACATGTGCTATCTCCAAACAGGCTGAGACAACAAGATAAAGAAATATACATCATACATCTATTATGTATACATCTTACACTAATTATCTAACGTTTTCAGTGTTGGGTATTAAGTCACACATCTCAGCTGGAAGATGCAATCCTAGATTAAACATAACCCCATTTGCTATAAAAACACAGAAAAGGATCTCTAAATCCACAAAATGTACATGTTACAATATAAACCCAAGCCTTGTAAATTTAATCCAGGGTTATTTGTTGCTTCAGATCTCTTTACGGTGATGTATGACTTAGTTGCTAAGGTTATCATAGCACTATCCTAAAGTTGCATAGTACATAAAACATTCAAGTTAACAATGCAAGGAGGTTAACTCTCTAAGATAACCTACTATCACAGGGTTAAACCAGATGATAGGCCTCTGTCAGCTTCCAAGGAGCTATTGATGGTTCAATCAGTTTGTTTTGAAAGTACAACAAAAGGGCACTAAACTTATTCAAACTGTCAACAGACACTATCTGGAATGTTGCTTGCAGGTAAGTAATTTGGGGTGTTTTAAGACCATTATCAAATGGCAGTGGCTGCAGAAAGAGACAGCTACTAATAACAGTGAAGGCAGACATCATAAAACACTTTATAGCAGGCACAGGGATCTATACGTTGCATGACATATTTATTGCACTTGCTTTCAACTTA